GGAAAACCAGGAGGTAATTTTATTTCCCCAGTAGATGGTTTTGTATCTTGAGAACAGAGCGTGTTCTGGATCCAGATACGACCCATTATTTAATCTTAATTAAAAGCAAACACCAAAACCCTCTCGTATAGCAGAACGCTTGCAAAACAGAGTAACCTCCCCCTGCAAGCCGATGCGGAGGCAGGAGCGGTTTGGTCTGCGTGAGCTGTGTGCAGCGGAGAAGTGTTTGATAAGAAACCTGCTGCAAAGCACTGCCAAAACCCTGGACATGTGAAGCCGCTTTGGCAGGGGCTCCTTTTTCTTCTGGAGAACAACCTTAAAGGCAGGGTATTTCAAAGTCAGCAGTTCCTGTGCGTTGGAAGGAAAATTCCCTGCTCGCCAGAAGCATCAAGAGGTGATGGGCTGGGGTTTTTGGAAACAGATCTGTAGTGCAACCGAGTACCTTTCCTGTGCTACACGGGGTTTTTTCCTTTCTTTCTAGTCCTATGTTCTGTGATCTTTAACTTGAGAAGAGAAAAGGCCAAATGGATTGGGGTTTTCTTCCTTCAGAAGGAATAAATAATCTGATCTGTACGTACAAAATCACAGAATAAAGCCTTGCACTGTGTGTCTTTGCAAAAAAAAAAAAAAAAAGAAAAAAAAGAGTCCTTTCATTTGACTTCCATAGACTTCCTTTCTGTACAGATAAAATTAGGAATTATTATTAGCTGGGACTTGCCAAGACCCCAGGGGACTGCGATAACAGTCCCTGCTAGACTGTTCCAAAAATCCTGCCATCCTTGTTGGGCTTTCGTAGCAGCACGTGAAGAACACGCTCCGTCCCGTGTCACACCGGCGTCAGGCCCGAGCGGCGCAGGCGGAGCGGCTTGTTGGGGGCTCGGAGGCGGTGCTGTCAGCAAGGCGAGGGTTTAATTCGGAATTCTCCTTCTCCAACCCTTCCAGGCTCCGGTGTTTACATCACCCGGGGGCAGCTGATGAATTGCCACTTATGTGCCGGTGTCAAACACAAGGTCCTTCTGAGACGTCTTCTGGCCACCTTCTTTGATCGGTACGTGCTCTTCGTGCTCTCCCAAGGGATTCAGTTTATTTTCTGGTGTTTTAACCACGTTACTAGATAATGTGTCACGAGTGCTTCATCGTCTGCATATGCTGCACTGATTTCTCTACTTTTTCTCAGTCATGCTTGAACCTGAGCACCCGTTTCTCCGATTCCTTGCCTTAAAATCATGTAACGTGGTGATCCCTCCGTAAAAACCTAAAGGGAAGAGGACGGTGTCCCCTTGCCATGCGCTGTCCCCTGGGGTCCTCGGTGTAAGGGTCCTTCTTTGCCTTTCTTGCAGGAACACGCTTGCCAACAGCTGCGGAACTGGAATCCGGTCCTCCACGAGCGATCCCAGCAGGAAGCCCCTGGACAGCAGGGTTCTTAACGCAGTCAAATGTAAGGAGGGAGATTTACTGCTGCTCTGTTGGAACAGCATGCCGAGAGCAAAGCCAAAACCTAAGCAGGGAAGGCCGTCTCTGTTGAGTAACATGGGAACTATATATGATGAAATTAGGTTATAGGAAAATTAATTTATTTTTTATTTTGCATAATTTGGAGGGGGGGTGAAGTGAATATATTTATTTTATTATTTGTTTGGCAGTATCTTAATATAAAACATTATTGCTGCTTGACTATTTTGCTATATTTTAAAGCACTGATTTCGCAGTTAATTATTTTATTGATAGGTGCTCTAAGATGGAAATTGAAATTATGGTTTTGGCAACATTCTGAGCTTGATACCACTGAAACAGGCCATCTCCCTTTGCTGCCTTTTATGCCCTAGGGCTCTGGTTCTGCCAGATCCCCTGGTTTACAGGAGCAGAGCGTGCAGCTCCCATCCACCTCCCAGAGACGTCCTCCGCGCATCTCTCGGAGCTGCTGGCCCCGCGGTGCCCGGGCCGTGACGGTGCCCGAGAGCAGCCGCGCTTTGCGGTGTCCTGGGCTTTTGGGGCTGTTGGTCTTCAGCAGTAAATGGGCCCCCAGGAATTGGGGAACCCACTGACCAGCCCTGGTAGCGTGGGAGGAGCTGCTCTCCATCTCGCCGGCAGCCTTGCTGTTAGGTTTGCAGCCTTATTTCCTTGAGTATATTTTGTAAACTATTTTATGTGGTTGGGTTTTTTTAAAAAAAAAAGGAGAGCCCTGCTGCAAATAGTTGCCTTTTTAAAAGGTTGCATAAAGCAACAGGAGCTTTTAACACGTGAGCTCCACGTGAAGTTCTGCATCGTGCTGCGCGGCTCGGTTAGTTGGTCTGTCCGTAGAGCCGCTGAGCTCTGTCTCGGAGCTGCGGGTCCAAAAGGTTCAGCCTTTTAACACCCCTTCTGCTGTCCTGCAGGTAAGATCCCCTGTGTTTGCGTGGTGACGCAGCACCCTAACTTTAGCCAGGGCTGGGATGCGCAGGGCTCCCTGACATGCCCTTCCCTGTGCACGTTTGTGCCCAACGTCCGGTGTTTATCCAAGAAAAGCAGAGTTTTGTTACTTCCATCATTCCATCAAGGTAGTTGAATTATTTATGGCAGGCACCAGAAACAAACGGTTAAATATTTGGCTCTTGCAGTCACCCTTGAATACAAGGAGCGTGCTGTGGGACAAAAGGTGCTTGCTAGTGATGAGGACCTGGGTGGCAGAGGAAACCCTGATGGGTTCGCACAGCAAACCCTGGTGGGTCAGCGCAGTGAAGCCCGTTTACCGTGGGCTTGGTGTACGGTGGAAAGCAATGTGTTCTCTCACCCTTGCGGGATTCTGGATAGTAAATCTTTATGTAAATAGTATTGGGCTGGAAAATGAAACTTTAAGCAATTATATTAATTATTTTTTATTTTTAAGATTTGGAAGACAAATCTTTCC